GGGTGTTTTATCTCTACCGATGATATACACTTCAGGGTTCAGGGTGTAGAGCTATCAGTTTTTGAATCTCTCTACATGGGGTAATCCAGCTAGTTACTAAGTAGACCTTTCCATTATTAGAAACTTCATATTCAGTGCTTTAATACAATGAACCTGTTTTTTTTTTCTTTGTTTTGTGTTTTGTTTGTTTGTTTTTAAGAGACAGAGTCTCGGAGTCTCGCTCTGTTGCCCAGGCTGGAGTGCAGCGATCTCGGCTCACTGCAACCTCTGCCTCCCTGGTTATAGTAATTCTTCTGCCTCAGACTCCCGAATAGCTGGGACTACAGGCACATGCCGCCACACCTGGCTAATTTTTTTCTATTTTAGTAGAGACGGGGTTTCAACGTGTTGCCCAGGCTGGTCTCAAACTCCTGAGTTCAGGCAATCTGCCCGCCTTGGCCTCCCAAAGTGCTAGGATTACAGGCTTGAGCCACCAAGCCGGCCTGAACTTGTTTTCATTGAAGTGATATGTTATTTTTTCAGGTATGACAGTGAACAAAGAATACTGATTAAAATAATGATTAAAGAAATATTTTCTATTGATATGTGTTTAATTTATAAATATCATTGATTTACTTATTCATTCATTTTTTGAGACAGGGTCTCGCTCTGTTGCCCACACTGGAGTGCAATGGCACAATCACCGCTCACTGCAGCTTTGACCACCTGGGCTCAAGTGATTCTTTTGCCTCAGTCTCTTGAGTAGCTGGGACCACAGATGCACACCACCACACCCAGCTACTGTTCTTAATTTTTTTTTTTTTTTAAATTTTGAGATGGAATCTCGCTCTGTTGCCCAGGTTGGAGTGCAGTGGCACGATCTCAGCTCACTGCAACCTCTGCCTCTCAGGTTCAAGCAATTTTCCTGCTTCAGTCTCCTGAGTAGCTGAGATTACAGGCTCATGCCACCAAGCCCAGCTAATTTTTGTATTTTTAGTAGAGTCAGGGTTTCACCATGTTGGTCAGGCTGGTCTTGAACTCCTGACATCAAGTAATCTGCCCACCTTGGCCTCCCAAAGTGCTGGGATTACAGGTGTGACCCACCATACCCGGTGTTTTAAATTATTTGTATAGATGAGGTCTCGCTATATTGCCTTTGCTAGTCTCAAACTCCTGGGGTCAAGCAATCCTCCTGCTTTGGCCTCCCAAGGTGCTGGGATTACAGGTGTGAGCCACTGCACCTGGATTACTTAAAAAAATAAAATAAAAAACCTTTAATTTCTGGCCTGAGTCATAACTTAGAAATTATATCCATTGTCACTTCACTTCCTGAAGAGATTCTTGATACTCTTCTCTGAGGGTTAGAAGTCCCATCTATGTGGAGTTTAGATTTTTTAAAAAAGTAATCAGAAAACATGTATTATGCACCTGCAGGGGAAATTAAAGACCAATAATACCAATGGGATCTACCTTCAAGATGTTCATAGCTCAGAAGGAGAGTCAAGTAAATCAATGGCTGTGTAAACAATAAGTGTGATGAAGGCCAGGTGTAGTGGCTCACGCCTGTAATCCCAGCACTTTGGGAAGCCAAGGCAGGAGGATCACTTAAGCCCAGGAGTTTGAGGCCAGCCTGAGCCAACATAGCAAGACTCCATCTCTACAAAAAATAAAAATTGGCCTGGTGTGGTGGTACACGCCTGTAGTTTCAGCTACTTGGGAGGCTGAGGCAGGAGGATCACCTAAGAGCCAAGGAGGTAGAGGCTGTAGTGAGCCATGATAGCACCACTGCTCTCCAGCCTGGGCACCAGAGTGAGACCCTGTCCCTGCCCTCCCCAAGAAAAGAATAAATGTTATAATAGAAGATGGCAACTAAAAAGGCTCAGAGAAGGGACATCTGATCCCAATTTCTGGGAGGAGGTGTTAATTATTGAAGAATGAAGTTATTAGCAGATGAGGAGGAAAAGGCTGAATATTTCAGGAAGAGGAAAGTGCATGACCACAGGAAATTCAGCCTGTTAGGAAGGTTACCAGTGTACACAGAACAGAGAGAGGGGCTGGGGTCAGAGCAGGAAGGTTTTCATGTTAAATCTTAAATTTTATCCTAAAGGCATGGGGAGTTCTGAAGGTTTTTTGCAGTGCAGTGACAGGTCCAGAGACCTAATTAATATTCTAGAAAATTCTCTCTACCTGCCACAGGAGGGATGGATTGAAGGATGTGAGGCCAGAGGCCTCTCTTCCAAGAAATGGAAGTGATAAGGCCCTGAAATGGGCATGGAGATAGAGGAGAAATTAACAGAGAGGCCCTCCAGGATGCAACAATTGGTTGGATGTGGTGCTGAGAGTAAGCAGGCTTCTGGCTTGGGAGCCTGGTTGGATACGAGTAACAGGTCATATAAAGACATGGGAAGAGGAGTCAGTCTGGAGTGGACAGACACATGATGAGTTTTGAAAACATGAGTCCTGGTTTTATAACTTACTAGTTGTGTGACCCAGAATAAATCACTTAACTTTTCTGTAAAATTAGGAAAGTGTTATCTACTTTATACACAGATCATAATATAGACCTTTTTATGTAGGTCTAACATATAGACCTGTAGACCTGTAAACTCAAAAAGGTTGTTCAATTGCTAGTTATTACATATACAACAACATAGTCTGCTGCTCACGTAGAAGGGATTTAAAAGGTGCTAAAAGACATCAATCTCAAATGTTTCCTAACTATAAAGCTCTTCCAGCAGACTCCTTATGTTATATAAATGCTCATTTAATTTTCTTGCCACCAGACTGTAAGTACAGGGGCTGGGCCTTGTTGAATTTTTTATTCTTAGTGTGTAGCAAGTGCCTAGAACATTTCAGGTTCCCAAGAAATGTTAAGCCAGTGAAGAAAGGAATTTTATCTTCATATGTTCTTTTTCTGAATATAGCTTTATGGATATAGAATTTGCATACCATACAATTTACCCTGGTAAAGTGTACTCTACGGTGGTTTTTAATATATTCAGAGTTGTGCACTCATCATTACAATTTTAGAACATTTTCATCAACCCCAGAAAGAAACTCCATACCCAGTAATAGTCAGTCTACATTTCCCTTCCACCTACCCCTCCTTGGCCTTAGGCAACACTAACATATTTCTCTTTCTGTAGTGCTCCTCCTGGACATTTCATATAAACGGAATCTACAATATGTGGTCTTTTGTGACAGGCCTTTTTCATATTGAATAATGTTGTCAAGGTTACTCTGTGTTGTAGCATGTATCAGTATTTCATCCTTCCCTTATTTTGGCTGAATAAATATTCCATTACATGGATATACCATACTTTATCCATTCATCAGTTGATGGGATAGAAGATCTTTTTAAGAATGAAACGTTTACCCAAAAGAAAGCATAAAAAACACCATTACATCAGTATGGACTGGTGTATGGAACACAAGGCAAATATACTTTTATGTGGAAAGGGGGAAACAAGAGCCAGAATGAGTTATTCTCCATTCCTCACCCCTTTTATCTCTTCTCTCACCTAACCCTCAAAGAGGAAATCTGGGAGGCAAAGCAAGGACTCTCCAAAAGGCAATGGTCTCACTGCTTAGTGGGCCCTTCCCAGTCCCATCAGCCTGGTGTGGTTTATGTAAACCTGAAGACTAGTCAGACACAACCTTCTAGAAGCCTGCCCTGATCTCTCAGGCAGTTTTTCGTTCTATTTTCATATTCCCAGAGACCACTGTACTTAGATTCATTTGCATTTTTCTCATTGTATTGCAATGGTGAGGAAAGAGCATCAGACAGTCCTAAATAGTTCCACCACTTACCACCTGCTGACCATGGAGGAGTCACCTACTTACCGGCTGCAGGGTTGTTGTGAAAATTAAATAAGGTAAAATAGGGGAAATTATTGTGATATAGTAGAGTAGAAGGGACTTAAAAATCATTTAGTCTACTTGACACTTCTTCTGAGACTGTATTTTATGCATATAAAATCTCAAGGCATTTACTTGAAAAAAATTTTTTTTTTTTTTAAGAGACGGAATCTCGCTCTGTAGCTCAGGCTGTAGTGCAGTGGCGCGATCTCGGCTCACTGCAAGCTCCGCCTTCCAAGTTCACGCCATGCTCCTGCCTCAGCCTCCCGAGTAGCTGGGACTACTGGCGCCAGCCATCACGTCCGTCTAAATTTTTTGGTATTTTTAGTAGAGACGGGGTTTCGCCGTGTTAGCCAGGATGGTCTCTATCTCCTGACCTCGTGATCCGCCCGCCTCGGCCTCCCAAAATGCTGGGATTACAGGCGTGAGCCACCGCGTCCGGCCTACTTGAAATTTCTTGACGCAAACAACGTAATATAAAATGAGTTGCAAAGTTCGGAGAACTCCAGAGCCAGCTAACTCCTTGATGGCATTGCATTGCTAGGTCTACTTCCTTGCCCTGGTAAAAGTGGCAGTTTCCTTTCTGGATTACTCCCTCCTCACCTTTTGTTAGTTTCAGAGTGACTTGTTGATAACTGTCAAGGTCCCCAGAAAGTGCCTAGCCAGAAAGGTTCTTCACTTCTCTTTAAAGATGTGCACGCCCTAATACGTGAATCAGCACTTTCTATTAATTTTTTCTCTCATTTCCAGCTGCTGCCTTCACCGCCTTCTGGTATTTTTTTGTTTGATGGTCCACTGCTAAACTCCCAGCTCTTCAGAATTAAAAATGAACTCTGCATCCACGCTCTTGTGGGTTCGAATCCTGGGTCTATCTAGCGTCTTTTTCTCCATCTGTAAAACGGGGTTAAAAATACCTTGTTTGTAAAGTTGTTCTCACATGTGGGTATTGAAGCGCTTAATAGCGTGGGTGGTGTTTGCAAGGCGACGCAACAGGAAAGGGCTTACCCTTTTCGGCAGTTCTGGCTTCAAGGAGGTCAGGCCCTTTAAGGTGGCGTGGCCCTAAGTCGCAGGAGGGGGTCTCTCCGCCCCTCCCTCGGGCCGGGGGCGGGGGCCTTCTAACCCGGAACTGACGGTCGGGCGTAGCCTGCACCGCCCATCTGCATCCCGGAAGGAGCGAGCTTGCGGCGCGTGAACCAGTGAGTGAAAGCGGCGCCGCCCGCCGGCTGCAGGTGCGGCAAAGCCAGTGTCATCTGCAGGTTCTCTTAGGGCTCCCGGAAAGAAGGAGGGCGAGCCGCGTGCATTCGCGCCGCGTCTCCTTGCGTTTCTGTTCCCCAAATAGGGCCTCTCCCCCCGCCGCCCAGGCCCCTGCGTGGGCTGGACGCGTCAGCCCCACACATTAGCCTCGCTGCGCCGCCCAGACTCTGCCTTGCCTCCCCGTCCCGGTCCCTGGCCCCTGCCCTGTCGCCCGCCGCCGGAGCGGTGACCGCCCGGCCCGCCGTTCTTCTGCTGCCATCGCTGCCGGCATCATGGGCAGTGAGCAGAGCTCCGAGGCCGAGAGCCGACCCAACGATCTGAACTCCTCAGGTCGGTGTCCTAACCCACCCCCCTCCAGCCCGCCCTGTCTGCTTGCAGAGCGGGCTGCCTCCCAGACTAGTGGGGTCTGGGACTGCTGACGGGAACGCACAGAAAAAGCCCTCACCATGTCACTAGGGGAAAAAAAAAAGTCACCATCTGTCCTGGTCTCGATTCCCCTGATGGAAGTGCCTGTGACTGCAAGCTAAGCCAGCGTGGGCGCCGGTGCCCATTATTTATTTTCAAAACAGCCGTTTCTCCCAGCTACAGCCTACTGTTTAAAAGACGACCTAATTAATTTTTGGCTCTAGTGCTCATAGCTGATGTAGTGAGATTTGGCTCACACAGTGGATGGATTATAGGACCTCTAAGAACAGGCTGTTTCTTAAAAACGGGTGTTAGAGGTTCCTTTTCTGAAGGGATATGTGATAGGTGTCCACTTATTTGAACTCTTGAGTGCAGAGGTCTCCAGAAACAGCTTTTTCTTCTCAGAAGGTGTCTTGGTCCCTTTTCTAATCTTATAGAGGTTGACCAGACTGCAGGCTCTGGTGTTTTCCATTGTTGTTCCCTGTCCATGAATTTTAGATTCCTCTAAGCGTTTGAGACAAGAATGGGAGGATTATTGTGTTTGCGATACAGTGAGTGTTCAATACATAAAACAGCTGATGTTTAATTGAGGACCATTTGCTGCTTTTTTTTGTTACCCACGCAGGCCAGGACAGCTGGGAGTGCTTTGGTTAAGCTCCGGGGTTGCTAATGCAAATTGGTTAATCCGGGTCCTAAAAAGAGTCCCCGATTTTTAGAAGTTCTCTTTCTTGATAGGATTTGTAATTCATAAATAGGCAAGCTAATAGATCTAAGGGTGTTTCACTTTGAAGTGTGACCTTCAAGACTAGTTCAGACCTACATTCTGGGGGACTGGATTGGGGCAGCTTTGAATGGTGGGCAGCGTCTACTAGCTTTGCTACGTTTTTCTATTTCCTTGGAAGGCCCAGAGTGTCATATTTGTTGTAAGAAATATAATCATTGTGACATCTGACATTCTTGCCTCTATGGCAGGGCAGAAACATATTTTGGGGGGAAGCGGTGTGGCATCTTTTTAATATGCTTGCTTGCCCATGAACCAACAGCATTTGCGCATTTCCGATGTTAGAATTTGCCTATTCCCCCGGGCGCGGTGGCTCAAGCCTGTAATCCCAGCACTTTGGGAGGCCGAGACGGGCGGATCACGAGGTCAGGAGATCGAGACCATCCTGGCTAATACGGTGAAACCCTGTCTCTACTAAAAAATACAAAAAACTAGCCAGGTGAGGTGGCAGGCGCCTGTAGTCCCAGCTACTCGGGAGGCTGAGGCAGGAGAATGGCGTAAACCCGGGAAGCGGAGCTTGCAGTGAGCTGAGATCCGGCCACTGCACTCCAGCCTGGGCGACAGAGCGAGACTCCGTCTCAAAAAAGAAAAAAAAAAACCAGAAAAAGAATTTGCCTATTCCCCTGTGCCAAGTACTTTACATACATTTACATAGAATTTTTGCAGTAATCCCATTTTACAGATAAGGTAGTAGAGGCTAGCTGGAATGTTTCGAACTCCCCTTTGCTCTGGCATCTGGGGAAGGAGGAATCACAATTTATAGCAGGAAAGATTTCTGGCATGGCTTTTGTAAAATGCTAGGTAAATTACCAAAACAGGTAAAGAAATATTTCTTGAAAAGAAATAAAAGCAGCAGAGATTTTTCTAAAAAAGGGAATGCCAAGCTTCCGGAGATGAGCTTCTAGGAGACAGAGTGGTTCTGTGGCATCCCTGGATTAACCTTTGAGATATGACTATAATGAGCCTGGGAATATTACCTTCTAGAGCATAAAACACTTTAAAGATTCATTCATGCCCCAGTCTGGAAGATATTTGGGGGAGAGGATGATTTCTTGGTCCAGGGAGTTCTTTATAATATGAATCACTTCCCTCCAAATGGATTACTTTCTCCCAAGGAACCTGAATTGATCTCCCCCTTTGTCCTCCAAATTTCTGATTTTTGCCTCAGCCTAGAATGGACTTACTGGCTATTTTTGCCCTGGACTAATGCTATAATTTTAAGAATGAGGGGGCTGAAGTCCTAGCTACTCAGGACGCCCAGGTGGGAGGATTGCTGGAGTCCAGGAGTTTAAATAATAAACTTTTTTTTTTGGTGGGGACAGAGTCTCACTGTTGCCTAGGCTGGAGTGCAGTGGCATGATCCTGGCTCACTGCAACCTCTGCCTCTCAGGTTCAAGCAATTTTCATGCCTCAGCCTCCTGAGTGGCTGGGATTACAGGGACCTCACGCCTGGATAATTTTTGTATTTTTAGTAGAGAGAGGGTTTTACCATGTTGGACAGGCTGATCTCGAACTCCTGACCTCAAGTGATCCACCTGCCTTGGCCTCCCAAAGTGCTGGGATTACAGGCGTAAGCCACGGTGCCCAGCCACCTTGACTTAAAAAAAAAAAGGAGGCTGAAGCCTCTGGAATAGGCCAGTCATTTGGGGGTTGAGACCAGGGTTTTTTCCTGGACTTAACATAGCTGGCTTGATGTGGTAGGGTGGATAGACAGCTTTGCGACTCCAGTGTCGCAGAGATGGGCCTTGTGTACCAGTAACTTAGAGACCTCTAATTCCTTTCCTAACTTTCTAGCACTGCTGACTTTGGGCAAGTCACAGTTAAATTTTGTACCCTTTATTTCTCGTTTTAGAAATAGGGATATATATATGTCAAGATATCAGGATAATTAAAGAAGGAGAAAATGAAAACAATCTGCCTATACTTTTATGTGCTGAAAAAGAAAACGTTTAGTTACGAAAGAAGTTTATTCATGTTATATAATCCCGTAATGGGCCAGGTGCGGTGGCTCACACCCGTAGTCCCAGCACTTTGGGAGGCCAAGGCGGTTGTATCACGAGGTCAGGAGTTTGAGACCAGCCTGGCCAATATGGTGAAACCCCACCTCTACTAAAAATACAAAAATTAATCGGGTGTGGTGGCATGTGCCTATAGTCCCAGCTACTCAGGAAGCTGAGGCAGGAGAATTACTCGAACCCAGGAGGCGGAGGTTGCAGTAAGCGGAGATTGCACCACTGTACTCCAGCCTGGCAACAGAGTGAGGCTCTGCATCAAAATAAAATAAATTCCTGTAATGTCTGAGGGTTTTCGTTGTTGTTGTTGTTTTGTTTTGTTTTTTGAGACTGTCGTTCTCTTACCCATGAAGTGGTGTGATCATGGCTCACTGCGGTCTTGACCTCCCTGGGCTCAAGTGATCCATCTCAGCTTCCTGAGTCGCTGGAACTATAGTGTGCACCACTACATCTGACTAATTAAAAGAATTTTTTTTTTTTTTGTAGAGACAGGGTCTCACTATGGTTGGTCTTGAACTGCTGGACGCTGGTGATCCTCCTGCCTCAGCCTCTCAAAGTGCTGAGATTACAGGCATGAGCCACCACGCCCAGCCCGAGGTGGTGGTGTTTTTTTTTTTTTTTCCACAACAGACTCTCGCTCTGTTGCCCAGGCTCGAGTGCAGTGGCATGATCTTACCACACCCCAACCTCTGCCTCTTGGACTCAAATGATTCTCCTGTCTCAGCCTCCTGAGTAGCTGGAATTACAGGCACCCGCCACCATACCCTGTTAATTTTTGTATTTTTAGTAGAGACGGGGTTTCGCCATGTTGGCCAGGCTGGTCTCAAACTCCTCACCTCAGGTGATCTGCCCGCCTTGGCCTCCCAAAGTGCTAAGATCACAGGCATGAGCCACCATGCCTGGCTCCAGCCTGAGTTTTTAAAAATACTATAGAAAATAGTTTCTATAATTCATCCCCGCCACCCCAACCCCAACTGCAAGATAACTACATTGTATAAAATTATTGTTTTTAATCACTACACCGAAAACTGCCTTGGTGAGGCAGAGGTGCCTAACTAATACGCATCTCCTAAGCAGTGTAACTTTATTTTCAGTGACTCCTTCACCAGCCAAGCATAGAGCCAAGATGGATGATATTGTGGTTGTAGCTCAGGGCTCCCAGGCCTCACGGAACGTCAGCAACGATCCCGATGTCATCAAGTTGCAAGAGATTCCAACCTTCCAGCCCCTTCTGAAAGGTAAAGGATTGCATTTTGTTTTATCTGAACTTGCTGGAGAGATTTGTGTAGCCCTACTACTTTCTTTCTACGTATCCATTTATTTTGCTCTCTCATCTCCTTTAGGTCTTTGTTTAAATGGCATCTTCTCAGTGAAGCCTTTCTTGATTTCCCTTATTAAAAATTGCAGACCTTTCCCTACCTGTTTTTCTCTATAGCCCTTAATTATCATTGACCTATTGCAAATATGTTTACTGTCTATATTTCTGTGCTAGAATGTGAGCTCCATGATGGCAGGTATTTCCTCTTTTGCTCACTGTTGAATTCCCAGCACTTGAAATAGAACCTGGTATAAGATAGGGACTGAGTAAGTGAATGAATGAGGTCGAAAATGGCCCTTTCCTGTTATATTCCCATGAAAAGATTTTCATTGTTATTTGTGATCTGGACAGTGGGTAGACTAGTTCAGATCCGTAGAGAAAATCTCCATCACTACTGATACACTTGTAATTAATCCTGGCAGCTGTTTTATGTGAGAGTGTGTGTTTGAAAAGAGAGATTATCCACCCAGTTAGCATATATTGTGGTAGTTACCTTTTGACACCAAGGCCACAACTTTATTATTTTCGTGTCTCCATTAAGTGGTGGAGATGATTTTATATTAACTGGTGTTTCTGCTGTAAGAGTCCTTTAGTTCCCTCCTCCCTCACCCCCACTAAAGATTAGGAAATAATGAACATAAGGCCCTGGTTTATTTAACTTGGTATAATACAATGTAAAACATCTTACATTTACATAGCTATTTGTATTAAGAGGTCCCTCCTCATACACATATCATCCCTTTAATTCTTACATCATTAAACGTGTTTCAGTGATTGGGGTGAGATCAGGCAGCTGGCATATAGAGAGGTTGAACTTGAACCTTCTTCATTGATGTCAAATCTTATGTTACACTGTTCCACACTATTTAAAAAACAAAAACAAATGGTGCTTTATAGTCATATTACACTGAAACCACACTATTTAAAAAACAAAAACAAATGGTGCTTTATAGGTGATCCATATATTGTCTTATTCTTACCAGTAAGCCATCTGTTTCTATAGATATGAAATACAAGCTTCAGTTTCTTCCTACAGACCTCAGGGTTATTCCCTTTGCAAACATTCTGACTTTTATGTAAAATAACACTATATATATATATATATATATATATATTTTTTTTTTTTTTTTTTGAAACAGAGTTTTCGCTCTTGTCCCCCAGGCTGGAGTGCAATGGCGTGATCTTGGCTCACTGCAACCTCCGCCTCCCAGGTTCAAGCGATTCTCCTGTCTCGGCCTCCTGAAGTAGCTGGGATTACAGACGCCTGCCACCATGCCAAGCTAAATTTTTTTTTTTTTTTTAGTTGAGATGGGGTTACACCATGTTGGTCAGGTTAGTCTTGAACTACTGACCTCAGGTGATCCACCCGCCTCGGCCTCCCAAAGCGCTGGGATTACAGGCGTGAGCCCCCTCGCCTGGCCTATTCATCTTCTTAGTTTTCATGATTTTGAGGAATAATGTGATTCTCTAAAGAAGCTAACAATAGTAGGGCATGGTGGCTCACACCTGTAATTCCAGCACTTTGGGAGGCTGAGGCAGGAGGATCACTTGAGTCCAAGAGTTCAAGACCAGCCTGGGCAATACAGTGAAACTCTGTCTTGACAGTTAATACAAAAAACTACGCATGGTGGCACGTGTCTGTCGTCCTAGCTACTTGGGAAGCTGACATAGGAGGATCGCTTGAGCCCAGGAGGTCAAGGGTGCAGTGAGCAGTAGTCATGTCAGTACACTTCAGCCTAGGCGACGAGTGAGATCCTGTCTCAAAAAAAAAAGTCCGCTGGGCATGGTGGCCTATAATCCTAGCAGTTTGGGAGGCTGAGGTGGGTGGATCACCTGAGGTCAGGAGTTCGAGACCATACTGGCCAACATGGTGAAATCCCATTTCTACTAAAAATACAAAAAATTAGCCGGGCATGGTGGCGCGCGCCTGTAATCCCAGCTACTCAGGAGGCTGAGGCAGGAGAATTGCTAGAACCCGGAGATGGAGGTTGCAGTGAGCCGAGATTGTGCCGTTGCATTCCAGCTTGGGCAACAAGAGTGAAACTCCATCTCAGGGGGAAAAAAACCACAAAAAACCCACAAAAATCTGCATATAACTTTCAACTTACCCAAAACTTGACTACTAATAGCCTTCTGTTTGCTAGAGCCCTTACTGATAGCAGAAACAGTTGATTAACACATATTTTATGTTATATGTATTATATACTGTATTATTACAATCAAGTAAACTAAACAAAAGAAAATGTATGACACAAATTATAAGGAAGGCCAGGCGCAGTGGCTCATGCCTGTAATCCCAGTACTTTGGGAGGCTGAGGAGGATGGATCACTTCAGGTCAGGGATTCGAGATCAGCCTGGCCACCATGCTGACACCCCATCTCCACTGAAAATACAAAAATTAGTTGGGTGTGGTGGCATGCAGCTGTAGTCCCAGCTACTTGGGAGGCTGAGGCACAAGAATCGCTTGAACCCAGGAGGCAGAGGTTGCAGTGAGTTGAGATCATGCCTGGGCGACAGAGTGAGACTCAGTCTCAAAAAAAAAAAAGAAAATTAAAAGGAAGAGAAAGTATATTAACTATTCATTGAGTGGAAGTGGATCATCAGAAAGATCTTCGTCATTGTCTTCACGTTGAGTAGGTTGAGAAGGAGGAAAAGGAGGGGTTAGTTTTGCTGTCTTAGGGGTGGCAGAGGCAGAAGAAAATCCACATATAAGTGGACCCATGTGGTTGAGACCCATGTTCAAGGATTAACTGTAATTCGTTTTATGATAATCACTAGTAGGGGAAATATATAGGAGAAGACTTGGTGTTAAGGGAAGCTAACCTCAGATTTGAAGTCATCACTGAGGGCTGGGCATGGTGGCTCATGCCTATAATCCTAGCTCTTTGAAAGGCCGAGGCGGTTGGATCACCTGAGCACAGGAGTTTGAAACTAGCCTGGCCAACATGGCAAAACACTGTCTCTACAAAAAGTACAAAACTTAGCTGGGCATGGTGGTTGGCACCTGTAGTTCCAGCTACTCAGGAGGCTGAGGTGGGAGTATCGCTTGAGCCCAAGAGGTGGAGCTTGCAGTGAGCCAACATTGCATCACTGCACTCCAATCTGGGCGACAGAGCAAGACTCTGTCTCAAAATAAATAAATCATCACCGAGTGCCGTAAAAGTGAATAATTAATGTGATGCAGTTAATGCAATGCAACTGGGCCTGGTTTCATTGATAAATGAGTTTTAACTGGGACTTTGCCACCAACTATTATGTTGTCTGACTTTGTTTTTCCACCTCTTTGAGACTTGGTTATTAAGAACATTGAGAATAGGTGTAGGAAGGAGGAAGGCTAGTAAGGAGCAGGTTACAGGAAGAGGTTATCTGGGATTTGGTTAAGGAAGGTAGAGATGAGATCATGGCTCACTGCAGCCTCAACCTCCTGGGCTCAAGTGATCCTCCCACCTCAGCTTCCAGAGTAGCTGGGACTACAGTGTGCACCACCACACCCGGCTAATTAAAATGCATTTTTATTTTTTTTGTAGAGACAGGGTCTCACTATGTTGCCCATGCTGGTCTCAAGCTCCTGGACTCCAGTGCGCCTCCTACCTTAGCCTCCCAAAGTGCTGAGACTACAGGCATGAGCCACCATGCCCAGCCCAAGTTTTAAAAAATACTATAGAAAATAGTTTCTATAATTCATCCCGTCACTGCACCCCCACTTGATGAGAATGGCATGAATCTAGAAATGACAACATGTGGCTGTGGCCAGACTACAGCAAGCAAAAAGCCAGTGAGCATTTAAGGCAATGCTCATGTTTCACTTGTGAAGACGAAACATCTTGGGCCGTGATTAGGAAAGATAGTCAAAGGGGGTAGGAATGATAAGTGTAATTATGATAATAGTATCTTATCCCCCAGGCTTCTACATAATAGCTATTGTTCTTTCCATTTTTATAGATTAAAATATTGAAGCCTAGATAGCTTCAATTAATTGCCTGAAGTCACATGGCTGTAAGTGATTGCACATTTTAAGATTGCATCAGGGCATAGAATGAGACTTCGTTTCCAATTCTAGCAAAGCCCATTATAGAAATCACTAGGATATACAGGAACTAGCGTGGTGGGTATGAGGTTGTTTGGGTTTTTAGGTGCAGCATTTGTTGCAGAGCCTCCTGCTTTGACATTGTTCTGCCTGATAATTAAAAGCCCTGCCCTCTGCCTCCTGGGCTGCTTCAGGGGCCACGCATCACTGTCTATACTCTGATCTCTTTTTCCCCCTTTCCTGCTTTCAGGATGAGGCCATTCCTCAAAATAGTAAAAAGGCCACACAGTGAAGGCTGTACCCCCCAGGTTTGATTTCAGAAAGCTTTTATTCAACTTAATGACAGTTTATTCTTTCAAAACAATATATTCAAGTATTACACAGAGTTCACTATTGTTTCATAATGTCATATGATGTAATGCTAATGCTGGTGGGTGATCTGCAGAGGCAGTGGCTGGGCGAGTTTGGGGCTATTTGTATGACTGAGGTAATGTTTGCATTTTTAATAAGCAAGCAGATTCTTTCTTTGGCCTTAACCCTTTTGCATAAATATACCAGAGTATAATTTATGCTCCATAATCCAAATAGCTCTTCCTTTTTTTGATCAAAGGGATTTCTGTTTTTCATAGCAATGTCTGAATTAGTAATTTATTTTGACATGTAAAGCATTTTATAGGAAATTAAAGATTAGAAAATTAGAAAGTAGCCACAAATGGCTGTGACAGAACACAAAGACAAAATAGTAGATTTGATGTAAGTTAGCAAGATTCCAAGAAGTTAACAAACCCTGTATAGATTTCTTACTTGAAATTCAACCACTTATATTTTTTAATGAATCCCGCTCTATTGTATGTCATTCCATAGAAAGGAAATATTTGCAGAAGTAATATTG